TTACTGTGACGATGCCCCTCATCCCCAGAGACTTATTTATGGTGTTTGTTTAGACAAGGGAGTACTTTTTTCCCCACTATGTTTACTTGTAACTATGATATGAGATCTATTTTAAATATTTGTACTCATAGAACATTTGCATGATTAATAAAGTTATCTTTAATTTGCAGTGAACTGCCTTTGTTCAATGATGGCATCCTTGTGCATGGTTCAGTCTCATTAGGGCTGCAGGGCCTGCTGTCTATTAACTGGTAGGCAGAATCTTGTCAGTTCTAGGAAGGCTGGGGCTGCACACTAGGCCAGAATCCTCTCAGCTGCAGAACGCTCAGACTACTAATAGTCTGTGTTGGAGCCACCCATAAAAATATGCCCTCATGGACTTCATTTACATGGAAATATGTGCCTTTGAATGGAGCTTCTGGAATTCCTTTTTTTTTTTTTTTGTTACTTTAGAGCTCAGGTTTTCTTTATTTATTGGGGTGTTTGGTTTTGCTTTTGGTATTAATAAACCACCGGTGCATTGCAAGTCTTCTTGTGTCATCTCCTCCTTCCTTAACTCTAAAACCCTCAGTAACCACACTACAGCAACAACTATTAATGTTTTCTCATTTCCAGGGTGGATGGGTGTTCTGATCACTAAACGTCGTGAAACTCTGTTCTTTGATGTTTGCCGATCACCTAGTATTGAAATTCAGCATCCAAGTCGTCTTAAGTTTTCTGGATTGGGGAAAGTAACTTCAAAACAACATTTGACCCCACTCTGTCTAACAAAGAGCTATGTTAAGATTTATCTAGACATGATTTTTGCTGTGCTAACAGCTGGAAGGGTGTTCTGAAGTGATTTGGATAGCCCATAGGTAAACATTTAGAGCATAAACATTTTATCTGCAGAAAAACAGACCAAACTTTAAAATAGAAATGTACTTAAACGCTAAAAGATGGCATGATTCAACCAGGGATTCAAATAAACATATTGAAATATGAACATGGGGATTAAAATATAGTAAAACAATGTTTTTTTTTCGACACTAGTCAGAGTTTTACCATAGTATTTAAAGCTGAATTAATAGCAAATAGATATTTTACTTCTAGCAGAAATTGCTTGCTTCATTTTAGCAATTTGAAGCAGATGGAAAGAGCTGTTGATCACCTAAATGTCTTAGACAGAGCAAGAGTCACTATTATTTTCAGTAAGTTAAAAACAAAACGTTGCGTATTTTTGACCTGTATAATCTAAAACAAACCCTGGCGGATGATCTCCATGCACATCAGAATGGCATCCTCTTTGTCTCCTCTGGCATAGCGGATGTTGGCCTCACCCATGAGTCCTCTGAGAGCACGGGGTAACTTACTACGGTGACGTCTCTCCTGGAAAACGCAAAAGAGTAAAACAAAGTTGAATACTAACTTGATCTGTGATTGCTAAAAGCAAAGACGTTTTTTTTTGGTTGTATGCCAAAAAAAGACTTTGGATATTGAAGAATACACATTTCCAAAATATCTTTCTTTGAGTTTATTCAATAAATGAATGAAGAAAAAAACATTCATAAATCAAGTGAGAGATTGTCTTAAATATTAACCAAGCATATAAAAGTACTATAATAAATCACCTTCATCATTTTCTTATTCTCTCTGTTAAGCTCCATTTCTAAGGCGAACACATCTCCTGGTGTGATTCCACACCCATCGTCCTCGTTGTCCAATTTCTCATCATCTCCATCCTCCTCTTCTTTGTCGTTCCACTCCATATTTCCACATTCATCCTCATCCTCCTCCTCCTCCAGTCCCTCTCCGATCATGGAGGCGAAAGCTTTCTGAACAGAGGCACTGACACCCTCGTCTGGGTTCAGGGATCACATAGTCATGATCACGTGTTAAATGTGAAAAACAATGGCTCCCACAGAACTTATTTAAAGGCTCATAAAACTATGTTATGGAAGCTCATTTTGGTTCATTTAGCAAGTGGTTAACCACTTCTAATCAACAAACCAATTTTTTGTGATATTACTACTGAACGATTTCAGAGCTAAAGACTATTTCTTTATCAAAGCTGTAAAACTCACCGGTCTGTTTCTTTGACCTTTTGGAGCGTCCTTTTGAGGTTGAAGGAGTAGCTTCATCCTGATCCCCTGCTTCATCCTCATCTTCTGACAATTTTGCCTTCGCTCAGAAACACGTGCCATTGTTCATTAGTTACATCGTAGTACATTATAATTACCGACTAACCATACTTTGTGGAGTGGAGCTCTGTATTAGTAAAGTTAATGAACAACAAACATTTTCTAACATTAAATAAGAATAATACAAAAACTAACACTACCTTATCCTTTGCCTTTCCTTCCTCCCTCCTCCTTTCAAACTCTTCAAAAGTAATTTTACCATCTAAATAATCGTTTAATTCAGACATTTTCTAAATGAAAACAATTTTCCATAAAATATATAAATGTAACACTTTATATGGCGCAGGCAGCAGGAATAAAAAACAAAACATTGGGAAACGGGTACGTACTTCCGGTCTTTCAACCAATCACAAAGCTCACTCTTCTTCATTGGGCGAGAAACAAGTATTTTGGCAGACCATTTTAACATTTAAACATCTGACCTGAATACGCGAATGTATTTAAAGATAAGAATAAATGTATTCTGACTAGTAATAAATATATTTTGACTAGGCGTAAAGACATTTCGAGATATCTTAAATTCTAATTGCCCGAGTAAGAAAGTGAATTTGAGACATCTCCAATTATATGTTGACTAGTCAAAACTCATTTGAAGATATCTGCTTATGGCAAGCCGTTTTAAAATTTAAATATCTGACCTGACTATCCTCAAATGCATTTAAAGATAGCAATAAATGTATTCTGTCTAGTAATACATATATTTTTTACTATCTTTATCTTTTAATGCATTTGGTAGTCAGGTCATGTTTAAATGTTAAACGGCTTGCCGCAGACTTCTTGGTTTCAAGACCCGACACTTACCAGCTGTGGCGAAATTATTTTAATTTTCCATACATCATTACAACCCTTATAACCTAGATTTTAATAATATCAATTGAGTTCAATATTAACTGAAGAAAGTGTCAAAACTACAAAAAACGAAACCGTTTTTTTCTCACATTTTTTTTCTAAATAGACATTTCATAGCTTTATCCCACAAAATGCTTTTGAACCAGAGTAAATTTATTCTGAGTGAATTAATTGCTTAGTTTTTGAGATCACATGCCTCACAAATGAAGGGAGCTCACTTTCCCATACTTTCGTGGCCCCCGTGTAGCCTAATGCCCCTCACAGATGGGGTGTTTTGGGATGTTTAGTAGAGATTTAAATACCGAATGAGCGAGTAAAATAAAATGATTTTGACGCGGTAAGAGTCGACGTCAGAAGATGACGTCACGCCGTGGTTCGAGGACAATACATTATAATATCACTTTTACAATGTGATGAAGTATCCTTCATCAGAAGTGCTGTAAACGCCCAGGGTGTGGATTATAATTTTATTGTGTAAGCTTTTGAAGTATTTTTTGCGTTTTTTTTTGGTCACTTTTTCAGTTTGAAACCATTGCTTTGGTAAAATAAATGATAAGACCAACTAAACACAAACTGAATGGGATGCAGACGTGTAATTGGGTTTTGGACCATACACCAATGGCCTAACTTATATAGTTATGCTGACTGATTTGAGAAGATAATGTGGCACGCTTTGTGAACCTTCTGTTTTAATATGTTCCCATTTAGTGCACAACCTTCAAAAAACACCTAGCTGATGCAGCAAAACAATGTGTTTACTTCATTTAGATTCGGCCTGCAACATGATGAGCATCTTTTTATTTAAAAAAAAAAAACATGCTGAATGGTATTCTATCTTACAGTAGAGAGCACAATCTATTACAGAAGTTACTAAATCAAAAGATAAAATTAACTGAATTATTAAAACCTCCAATTTAATTTCTTTTATTCAAATGAATAACCACAGAGTAATACAGCAACAGTAAAATAACATTTTCTATACAAAAGCACATTTAGCATTGCTCCATCAGAAACAACTAAGAAATCCCTTCAGTTTTTGGTTCTCCTATGATTTCTTTTTGCATTTGAGGTTGAAAAATGGACCGTAACTTCTCAATCTTCTCAGCTTCAGGCATCAAATCAAAGTAATTGTAAGGAACCTAAAGGTGACAAAAATACAAGAGTAAAATTTCTGAAATCAATCCAGGGAAATTAAGTATAAAATGTCAATCAATACAATCTTATAAAACACATTAGGGTGGTATGAAGACAAAAATCTATACTTTGATAAGAAAATCCTTAGAAGAGTTGTGTACAAAGCAGACAGAATAACCCACATATAATGTATCTAAAAAGTACTCACAGTACTACAGTTCTTCTCCCTTCATGAGAAATATTTTATATAATATGTAGACAGGAACATTTATTTATATATATATATATATATATATATATATATATATATATATATATATATATATATATATATATATATATATATATATATATATATATATATATATATATATATATATATATATATATATTAATCCATACAAATAAATAATTACACTACAGGGTCTCATAAATGGTTAAGGGTGAAAAGGCATTAAATGCAAATTTTTAACCCAGAAAGAAATTCAATTTGAATTTATTTCAAAAGGAAAGGTGAATTAATATTTTCTATTTTCTCAAATACACTCCCTGCAAAGAGAATTGTTGATCCAACAAACTCAAGGACAATGTGAAGAATTGGCAAAAGAAAATGGTATCAAAGCAATGAGTTAAAAAAAAAACAAACATATGATATGACACTGCCATTGGGACGCCACTGCGGGCATCATTATAATCATGGCAATGACAAACAAGAGAGAGTGTACCTATACGCCAACATGCACATCAGCTTGATAAGGAGCATGATGGCTCACACATACATTTGGTAGACGCTTTTATCCAAAGCGACTTATATTTTATGGATGAATGAACACTTTTTTTTTCCCCTAGGAATTGAACCCACGATCTCTGCATTGATAGCACAATGCTCTACCAACTGAGCCACAGGAAAACACCCCTTTCACATTAAAAAGAATTTGAGAATACCTTCTCTGAATCTGATTGTTGCCATTAGCGTGATGACAGCGGTCACTAAGCTCAGTTTAAAGATTTATTTTTGTGGGAATTGCCCTCATTGATTTCAACAGACAGGACAGCGGAGAGAGACAGAAAGCAATGAAGGAGAGAGATTGGGGAGGGTTGGGAAAGACAACAGGTTCAGGAATCGAATCTGCAGTACCCTGCGCACCCGTGCGTTTGTGTCTGATGCACCATCGGCTACACCACGGGGTCAGAGAGTAAGCTCAGATTACCGGTTACTCAAATATGTAAATCACATGGCCCCTCCCAGTTTTTGCCCTTGAGAGCAACGCGAAAAAAAAACTGTTTAGCTTTGTCCACTGTACATAAACTATTGAAAAATCCTTAAAATGGTTTGTGTAAATAAGATAATTTCTGAGGAAATAATTTTAAAAGATTGGCTCGAAGCCCTTCGGCTGACATGTGAGTCACTCAGAGGCATTTTTTTTTCAATCTTAACATTTAAATCTTTATTATTATGACAAGTTCAGACAGGAAGTGAATGGTAACTTTGCCTCATTCACTTCCTGTCAAAACTAGTGTCATTAATAAGGAGGTAAATAGGGGTAGGGCTGGAAAATATATTCATAAGTTTGAGATTCAAACTTGGAATTTCGTGCACATCTACACTTCATCCTCACAGCCTGTTACACATTTATAAAACATGTGTCAAAATAAATATCCATTTCAAACAAAATATATTTATATATTGGATGCCAGGATCCCTAGGGTGTATTTATGACATCATATCATGCTTTTGTTGTGTTGACATATCTTCAGCCAAATTTACACGAGAACCATTCAACGTTTAAAATGTCAGCAGAGAGCAAACAGTTTATTTTTATAGAATGAATGTAAAGTTATAGTGTGTGATGTGAACGAATGTACTCACCAACACAGTCTTGTAACCAAGCTTTTCAAGGTGCCGAGCTTTCCGAACCACATTCCCTCGATAATGGTTTGTTCCATAGCAAAGGCCATTTTCTCGAACTGTGATCAATGCAATCCTGAAATATTGGGAAAAATTTTAAGACTTGATCTTTAATAATTCAAAACTTAATTAAGTAATTATGTGTTCCTCCACCTTTGGGCACATTGCGATGAACCAGCACCTTCGGTCTGGAGGCCAGGGGTTTCTTCTTGAACAGGCAAACTAATCACAAAGTCTGAAGCAATAACAAGCAATTCGTTTGAAAGAGAAAACTTTAAATCATTCCGTATCAAATAATTAAACAGGAAGTACGTCATAAACAGAAGAGTGAAGCTCTTGGGGACACTTAGTGAGCTTGTCTCTTCTCGTCTGCCCGGCTGTCTCTTGTAACATATCTACTGTTGTAGATATCTACAAACTTCATTGTCACCCCAAAGCTGCCTGGTTAATGCTGTACTGACTACCAGGCACTGGGTCATAAAAAGGCAACCAAGGAATGAACCAAAAAAATATAAAACCACACACCAATGAAAACTTCTGCCAATGTATTGTACCTCTTACATTAACTGGAACTTTGATAAAACCTGCAGTGATTGATTGCAATTAGGAACTATTTGCTTCCACACAATTATACAATTGTCCTAAGATCATAATCCTATGATCTTAGGACTTAAGCAACAACTTTTTTTCTGGAAGAAACAGACCAAAGCTTAATTGTGCTGTCTTTTAAAGACATCAAAACGTTACTCGTCTCATGCTTCTGACAAACAAATTCTAAAATGCAAATATTCCTACCTACACTATTTGAGCTACAGCCAACAAATTTTGCAAGAAACCCCAACTGGTCTGCCACAGGTTGCTTTATCTTTCCAGAATAATAGCCCTAAATGAATTTTGGGAAATCGCTGACAATTCAGAGAATTTCCCATTGACTTAATAGGAACTTTGGCTTTGACTGACCCTCCAGTAAGCTTTTGCTCCATGGGAAAATTGTTTTTTTTTTTTTTTGCAGGATCAAGGTCAGACTCCAGCTCAAGCTTCTGAACAAACCATTGATTCAGTATTCCTATCAGTTGACTGTGTACTAAAAAGACTTCTGAATTTGGCCTTAAAAAATGAGTTACTGTAAGTCCTCAAGTAACCACAGCACCGTTTTCATGCAACAGCACATTTTTGCAAACACTCCGCACACACCTCCTAGTTTACAGTGATACCAAGGTTATTTGAGTTCGGAATGTGGGGTTTACAGCAAACATAATAGCAGCAAAAGTTGCCGTTTACTAAAATTGACTGCCACCTGTTTGATTGGTAGCATCTTTACTACGTTTCAGAGTTTTAGAGTGCCCCATAGTGGATGGATGACATTGAATGCTCTAATTCAAATAAAAAAAATCATTATCAAACATATATATTGTTATGGACATAATATAGTGATGCGCATCACTTCGTGAGCGGAGTACATTATTGTTACAATGTTTATCTTTTAGCTTTGCTGTAATCTTTTATGTTATGTACACATCACTTTTTGTCAAGTCTTCACTAATGTATTAAACAAATAGCTGCTTTACATCAAACTCTATTGTAGATCCATAAGCTCTTCAAACACTCATTCATCATATTAAATGTGAAAATAATCAATCTTACCAATGAAATAAAAGCCCTGCTCCACCACAGCCTCCTGCACAGCATCTCTTCCCACTATCTCTCTGATGAGACTGCGTATCTCCTGGTCCACCCTGTGGTTTATGTCCAAAGATGGAAGGTTTAACTTAGTAAGTGAACTCATGGAAGATGGCAGTGGAGGATTTTCCAATCTCAGGGACAGGTTCAAGGCATACAACATATAAGAATTCTTCTCTGTGAGAAAAAAAAAAAAAACATGAGAATCATTTCATTATTGAGAAGCAGGAGTCTTTTTGTTGAGTTGGTAAAGCATCCTTCATAAGCAATATAAAGTTCTGTCCTAAGGTTTGGTGTGAAAAGTGCTCTTAAACAAAGAGTTCTTTAAAAATACAAATAATGAGTTTGTACAAGTTAATGTACAAAATAAAAATTGAGCAACCGTTTGCCTTCAAACCAGCACCATTTCTTATAGGTTCCCTTCCACAAAATCTGGGGTGTGCAGGATTTTAGTCAGGTCTAAGATCCACTAATTATTCCAAACAGGTGCTCATCAATGATCAAGTTGAAACCAAGTCTTGAACTGAAACGGGAACAGCTTGATACAAGGCTTAAAACTTGGTGAGGAACAGCCAAAATGCAACCAAATTGAGATTGAGAATCGCAAGATTTACCACAGCAACAAAACACAAAGTCGTTAAACTGCATTAACAAGGTCTTTCCCAGACAAAAACTGGGACTTGGGTCTCAAGATGCGCAAAGATATAGATTTCTCAACTGTTCATCATTGTTCACACCTGTGTAAAACGTGCAAAGTACTAATGTTACAACAGGGAACATTAAGAGGAGTAAGGACCTGGTCCATCTTGAGAGCTCTGCATGAGGCACTCCACAGTTCTTGGCTGCAAAAGTATTTCCAGGGGCTTTGGAGGGAAGTGCTGCATCAAGGACAGATAGAAAGTCAACGACAAAAGCGGACCAGGCGACATCTTGGGAAGGTGAAGCTCAATAACCGGCATTAGGCTCGACAGAAACCTACAGATGAAGCAATGGAAACTGGTCCATTAGTTACACATCTGTCTTCAGTTTTAGGATTATAGACTGTATACATTACATTAAAATATATTATATATTAAACCCGATAGGCACCGGCAGACCCCCGTGACCCCGAAAGGGAATAAGCGGGAATGAAAATGAATGAATGAATGAATGAATGAATTAAACCCTTAGAAGAACCTCTTTTTTCCATTACTTTACACAATAATTCCACAACTAACTTAAGGATGTATTAAAAATCTAATTCCGAGTAGTAAAAAAAAATTGAGAACAAACAGGTTTTATAACAAAAATCAAGTGTTCAGGCAAAATAAAAATATGTAAATCCCCAAAAAAGCAAAGACAAGGTCAAAGAAAATGTGAAAATTGTTTGAGAGAGAAAAATAAAACACAGGACAGTATACTCTTCTAAACTGATCTAAACATTTTTTTCTGCCAGATATGTGCAAAACACAATCCATCTCAGAGGTCTTAAAATTTCAAGGGTTCTAGCTTTTCTTCACCACTAGATGGCACTAATGGAACGGATTTGGGGTCTGTAAAACTGAAAGACAAATTACGATGCAAATTAAAAATAGAATATCTTTCTGAAACCACACATTAACTTTGAAATCAAAATTCTACAAATGGTGGGTCATGTCATTTCTACTTAATTCAAAATAGCCGGTGTAATATAAAAAATATATATATTTTAAATCCTTGAGTCTGGCTGATTCCTGGGAAAGAACAGGACGTTACATCACAAACAGGAAATTTTACTAAAGAGACATTGGAACTCTTATATACTTTGTACTTCTTATGCTTATTATGCTTATGCTTTTGCTTCTGATGTGTTTAGCTGATAGTGTCTCTAATGTTTAAGCTAAATAATGCCACATGTTCTGTTAAACAGTCAAACCCAAGATTCAAAGTACACCAAGTTCAAGTTATTTTTTTCAGGACTTACTTGCATTTTCCAAACCATCAAACAGATACCAAGAATTGTAAAAATAATACTGCACATAAAACTCTGTGAGATAGAATACATTTCTTCACTGTTCATAATGTACAGAATGCAAAGTATACATAGCTATGTGATTCCAAATGAAAGGATTGACGTACTCCGTTTTTTTGTCTTTCAAGTCATGATTGGCCATCGAAAAAACTCTTAAAACAGTCAAAAGTTCGTTGACGGAGAGATACTCAGGCTCCTGGATGATTCTCTCTGCAAACACATCCAACAGCTCTACAGGTCTGAAGATCAACTTTTCAAATGCCTGTAGAATCTTCAGAACCTTAGATATAAAGATACCAAGAATAAAAACAAACCATTATTAAATTTCTCA